CAACTGGGTATTTAATCAATTATTCTAGCTATTTTACGACGTGGCCACATTTGATCCTTTACTCGATTTTTTTTGTCATCCGCCTACTCAAGGTGGGACCAGCTGCGGCAAAATGATGACATCTTTATCCTCCATCGAATAAAGGGTCCAAGATTGAAGGGTGGGAGCTAGGTCGCCAAATTTCAAAAAACAATTGAAAATTCAACTATGCCGCCTTTTTTACAGTAAATTTTGTACGCTGTAATTCTATATGTTTTCGTATCACCGCTTCGCCTCTGTTTAGGAAAATGTGAACCTTCATAACCTGGAAGTGATCGATAAAATCTGTGATTCATCAATGTTCGTATGCAAATTTTTCATTGAGTGTCCGCTAAAACGACCGCTGTCACTTGAGTTACTATTTATTATTAGAATTCCACATTGTTTTTTCCAGGATTTAGAAATAATTAAAAGGGAATAGGTTACTTTTCCAAGTTAAGTGGTTTTTATGCTTGCTGTTCTGCTTAGACATCCGACGTTAGGAACTTTACGCACAAATGGGATACGGACAATCTAAAGGACAAAAGAAGTAATAGACGAAAGATTCTTCAGAAAGAATCCTTTTCAGCCAAATGAAAAGATAGGGAAAAGAATTAAGCTTTTTTGAATATGTCCAACCGAATTGGAAGACTGAATATGTCCAACCGTTTTTAATTATCATGAAATATATTGTTTTCATATAAAAATAATTAACTAAATGGTTTTGCGGATGAGAAATTGCGGACGAAAAAAGTTTTTGGAGGAAGAAAACAAAAGATAATAAATTCAGGTTATTAGATTAAAATTCTTTTTTTTAAGCTAAGCTCAATGAATGGATTAAACTAATTAACAAGACATCATTTTATTCTTGAAGTTAATCGATAGATTTAATTTAATCTGAGCGCACTGCGTGGTTTTTTTGTTATACGGCTCATAATTAATCTTTTTTATATTTTTTAACTTTCATGCTTGATTCTGATTGGACGAAACTGACAAATGCGAAGGAAATCTGACGCCTAATTTCAAAATAAAGTAAGCTCATACAATGTTTTGCTAGTTTTGGACCACATAAACGCAAAGATCCACTGCATGCAACGAGTATTCGGGAATGCGGTCTGTATTTAGACAACCGCGTAATCATACTCGTCAGTATTTATACAATTACTGTATGAACCAATCAGAATCGAGATAAGACATAATAATCCAAAATAAATCAAAATTATTTATTAATTTCTTCCTTGTCTCGATTCTGATTGGTTAAAACAGTATTTGTCTAAATGCTGATGTGTCTGAATACGCGGTTGTCTGAATACTGATATGTAACCGAGTATTCGGTTACGTAGCAAAAAGTAGACAACCGCGTATTCATACTCGTCAGTAAGTAAGTGACTTTCTTTGTTAATTAGCGTCAGTAATTTCCCGCTTTTAAGAAAATGCGTTCAAATTATTCGGAAATTTCCCCCGCTTTTTTCGACACTGTTGTACTTCGGCACTGTTGAACGCACCCATATAGTCTTCCTCTAAGTACTGACGAGTATGAAAACGCGATTCTTCATTTATAGACAGCACTCCGACCACTTGCAACAAAAGATAACGGGTCTTTTTGGTTATACCTCTCTAAATGGATAAATTTGGAAATTCAAATTTCGTTTTGAAATTGAAAGCTTGAAAGCGAGTGAAACAAATAGTGTAATACCACTTGCGTGCAATTAGCAGCTGCTCGATTAGGAAACAAAAATATATGACAAATTTATCACTAGGTTTCCTAATCGAGCAGCTGCTAGTTGCACGCGAGTGGTATTTAATTGTTTGTTTCACTCGCTTTCGCGCTTCAGTTTCAATTTGGCGTCCCAAAAAACTTTTCTTTCGCGTAGCTAAAACATTGGACTCACATTATAAAACCAGCTCTGTGTTATTACAACAGTGCCGAAAAAGGCGGAAAAATTTCGGAATAATTTAAACGCATTTTCCAAAGAGCGGGAAATTACTGACGCTAATTAACAAAGAAAATCATGCCAAAATGTCTGCAACTGCAAATTAAATAATTATTGGCGCCAAACTGTCTAAATTGCAAAATTTTTGCTCAAAATCTTAAAGTGTCTCATAAGATTGTAAACAAAGATTGTATCCAAAATTTAACCTATGCACAAAGAAACTTGTGGCGTGCGTTTTTCCATGTCGCTTCTGGGCTTCTGCAATGGAAGTTAAGAAGTTGAGGAACCAAGCTGAATGCTTTCTAGCAAATTGAGTTTTTTCCGCTTTTTGAAAGTTTTTTTCCTGCATTACCTACATGAAACTAATTGTTTTCTTGCTTGCGTTGTTTGAGATTGCTGTCTATAGAAAGCACTAAGATTTTAAATTTTTGGACAAAGCGGTTGTTCCAATCATTGGAACTGAGTTGTTAGATGAAGAGTACATATACAAATTGGGTAGCTGTGTGCGTTTTCTGACATCAGTTCCCCACAAATATTTCCGCTTTTGAGAGCTCAAAACTTGATTGTTTAAATTTACATCAGAATTAATAATCATGTTCAAATTTTCAAATTCGCAGAAACGCATTTTATCATTTGTTGAAATAAATTCATTTATTAAATTTTTTTGTTCCTATAATAGTTCGTTTGTTTCCCTAAAATATTCATTAAACGGGGTACCAACAGAAAATTCTTATTTTTTTTGCCATCGAGCAGGATGTTTCAGACATCTACAATCATTATTTTTTTTTGCGCCTGCACAAAAACAACTTTTGAACGAGGAAATAATGATTGTTGGTAATTGAGGGGAGCGGTGGTGAAGTGGTAGGGGAGCGGTGGTGAAGTGGTAAGGGGAGCGGTGGTGAAGTGGTTAAGTCTCCGCCTCTCAATCGAAAGGTCGGATGTTCGAGGCCCACCATGATCCGTGCTCGTTGCTTGAGGGTGAAGCAACATTACCCAGCCCAGAAAAATAACCAAAAAAATTGCATGTAGCTCTTAAACAAGGGCACAACAGCGGTTCGCCGTGATGAGCTGTACAGCTCTTGTGTTGGTCCTTTCCCCCGTGGATAAATGTTCTTAACTTAATTTTTTTGATTTTAATTATTTTTATTTTTGGAAATCCTTGAGATATCTTTTGCTCTCTCTGATTTTTTCTAATGGCTCTTTAGGTTTTCTTAAAGAGTCTATCATATCTTCAGAGATTTTTGGGGAAAATTTGCCATTAAGGCCAAAATGTTTATCAAGATTTTCAAAGAAATTTCAAATATATAAACGAAGTTGGATATGCGTTTAATCAATTGCAATACTGAGTCTCACAATAAAAATCAAAGAAAATTTTGATTTGAGAAACGCATTAAAACTTCAAAAAATCATGGCAAAACTGCAATCAACAACCTTCGGGCATAACGAAATTACTATGAGCAGTTCGAGGACAAACATTTTTAATGAAATGACTGAAAAAGTTACAACCAAAAAACCAAAAGTTTGCGAAGCGTCAAAAAATTATAAGCCATCGAACTATAAGTTGAAGTCAAAAACTGTTAGAATCATTCGAATTAGCTCGAGTTTTATCTCTAGTTAAAACTATTAGCTAGATTTCTAAGTGAAGTATTTAAAGCAAATATAAGCCTCAGTTTTTCAAACGAGAGCTGAAAAATGATCCCGTGCGACAGAAATTGTGTCAAAATAATGTCAAAAGAGCTATTTTTTTCCGCCTGGCTGTCTGTTTGTCTGTCTGTATGTATGTCTATCTGTCTGTCTATCTGTCTGTTTTTTTAGACTTTGTCTGACTGTGTGTGTCTCTTTGCGTGTGTGTCTGTATATGGGTGTCACTGTGTGGTTGTTTTGTTTGCGAATGTGTGTGTCTCTGCTTGATTGTTCCAATTTTTGTTGAAAACGATTGAGCTCGGGTTGTTTTTATTTCTTCAAATAGCTCGGTTCGGGTTTCGGCTTTTTAAATAACGTTTTGAAGATTTTTTTCATCATTTCACAACCAGAAAGATATTTCCCAGCCCAGAGGCTTTTTTGTAGAGTTGAAGGTGTTTGAAAAGTGCCAGTTTGCCCTATTTGGATAAGTAGCACGCGATATGCTTCGTATTATCAAAAGGTTATCGGCGAATCAATTCATCTCAAATTGAATTGAGGCAAAAAATATAGTTTATAAATCCTTACCAGACGCATCATACATCGGGAATGGAAATACGAAAAAAATAATTTTTAAATATTTCAAATCCAAATTTTTTTTCATCGGGACGTTAGACAACATTTGGCATTTCTCGCTGATTTCAGCCTTCTTGTTTTGTATTTTGCGATATTGTAATGCAAGTTTATCAAAGTAAATTTTTGCAGGAAAATAAAAATATCTCTCCGCAATATCTCTCCGAAAATTCCAAGTTTTTTGTACTTCAGTGAGAGGCATAATTTAGCGTTAACGTTTTTTTATGTGCATCTAACTCTTCACCTGAAAGAATCCTAAGATAAATTGGCAAAAGCATGAGCAAAAAATAGAAACAATTAACCCAGCCTAGCTTTTTTTTTTTAATTTCGCGATGGCCAGAAAAAATCAAACCATATTCAGAAACTATATGAATACAAAGGCATAGATAATTTAGTTCATTTTTCATCCTGATAGTGCTTTTTTTTCTGTAATCTGATATTTTCCTGTAGGGTTTGGAGTGTTCAAATAAATGCATACGGGAAATAAATCAGTTCATTGCTTAATTATGCTTAAATTAGTGCCTAACGAGCATCAAGAATCTCCAATTTTCTTATTTTAATCCAACTTTGGTTTCTGGCAGTTTTTTCTATGGGAAGTTGATTCAAAATAAGAACGGTTTTTATTACCTAGTTTAACACAAAAAGTAATGCTCATTACCATTTTCATTTTTACTTCAATATATCGGCTTTTTTCTTCAATTCGTTTTGTATACTCATTTCTGATTGGTCGATTTCGTTTTTTTTTTGCTGACGTCTTTGGCAAAAAAAAATCAATGATTTTCCATTACACGAAGGCTAAGCAGTTGGAAAGTACCAATTTCTTTCAGATTTTTTGTTTATAATTTACGATTTCGCGTAGCACTAGAAAAGTATGAAAGTCAATGCAATTTTATTTCTATCTTAACGTTCCTCGATAGAAACTCTTTATCGATCTGGGTTTTCTCAATTTTTGAAAACATTTGAATTATTTCATAAAGTTATAGCTTCGATATAACCAAGTTGTTAACGAAAACCAGAACAATTGTGATTAAACCAGAAAATAACAGTGCCATTTTAAACTGCTAGTCAACATATTTCAACTTAGTTACCAACCAAACAAAAAACGCCCGAGAAGTGGAATGAACTCAGTGTTTTCCGTGAATGAGACAATGGCGGGCGATTTAGTGGAGAGTCGTCTGCAGGTGAAGTTCGATGCCAACGGGAACCAGGAGGTCTCGACAGTTCTGCTGGGAAGTTTCCTGGTGACAATAATACTAGTGGGCTTCTTCAGTAACATAGCCTCACTCGTCATATATCTCAGGTTAGTTTAACTAGTTGACTTAAACTTATTTTAATTCTCCTCAAAACTCATTCTATGCTTTGTTCATGTAGTTAAACTGCGGGTTTGAGTTCGACATAATCATGAGCGGCAAAAAATTAAACTTTTTGAGCGGAAAAAAATTGATAGTACATGCACTTTTTCCATAATTCAGAAACACATTTCTGTCATCTAATCCAAGGAAACTTCAATGTTTGTCCAGCAATCGGTTCTTTGAAATTATTTTGAACAGAATTTTTATAAGAAAACGTGCATTATAGTGTATTTGAATAGACTATTTGACACAAATGTACATTCCGTAAAGCAATATATAACGAAATTACTCCTATCAGGGCAAAATCCTGAATGTTCTGACTGCTCGTTAAGGAACCTGAAGTAGTTTATGGCAAAAACAGAAAACCTCACAAATTTGGCACAAACAGAAATTGTCATAAACAGAAACTGGCACAAACAGATTTTTTTTTGGAAAAATGTCCTCCCACGCGCAGATTAAATTGTATAGAGTGGCATGCTTCTAATCTATGCGTTTTTTAAACAATTTTCGTTATCACCCCAAATTGATCAGTTTTGCAAAAAAAATTGATTGCAGGTGAAGTATATAATTAATTTCATGCGCAGAAAATCAGTATATTTCAGACTAGTAATAAATTTGCAGAAAAGGGCAAGTTGAATGTTCGAATTTTGTCTGAAGGAAAAACCACCCGAGCACAATTTGTCTGTTGCCTGTCGGAACAAAAATTTGGTTGATCAAAAATTTAAAACTTAATTCATTAAAGTCGTGAAGAGTTTTTGCTAAATTTGTTTATTGCTAGAATTTTGATATGCTTAATATACTCTTATAATATACTCTTACAAAATCGCGCCAGTTTTTAGAACTACACGATCCTTTTATGTTTTTTTGTCTTTTCCAGCTTGTATGGTCGTTACTGTTCAAATGTTTTCGGAATTTAGGAATACAAACGTTTTCAAGGCTAGCATTTCGGCATTGAACAGTTAAGCGGATCTTGCCCAGTCAAGGCGATAAAAAGCGGAGCATGAAAAAAATGTCTTCTTTCAGAAACTCAACATCTTGAAATAGGAAAAATCAAATACCAAGAAGAAAAAATCTGTTTATTGGTCGGTGTATGAACAAAACAATTATAAGTTAAAGTTTAAAAAAGTTACAAAAGTATAATTTTTTTAGTGCACTGTTGAAAATTTTTGTTTTTAATGGTAGTCATTATATTTTTGAATCTTTAAAATACAGTGCTGATTTAAACAAGACTGCTCGTATAACAGGGCGAAGCCCTGAAAATTCCGACTGCCCCTTAATCAATATCGAATAGATTTTGGGAAAACAATTATTGAAAAACTATAACTTTGGACAATATCAAAGATAAAATGTGAAAATTAATACGGCCGATTAGCTAGCCTCAATTTATTTTGGAACGATTTTGTTGTTCGGGTTAATTGGCCACGCATAAACAATTCAGGTTACGCTACAAAGTCTACAAAGCGCGCATAAAATAGTCCAGAGCATGGCCAAATTGTCAATTTTCAAACTAAGCAAACTAGGCCAAATAGGCAAACTAGGCAAAAATCACAATTTTCAAATCATAAGAGGTAAAATATCAGTTTTTTATATTTGGTTTTAGGGAGTCGATATCTTCAAAGTGGCGTAAAATTAAAATTTTTTCGATAGCCGATAATTGATTGAATGAAAAAAAAGCCTAGAAGACTAGAAAAAACTCAAGGGAACGAAGGTGCTCACAATTTCACCAGAATTAACATAAAGTAATTCATTTTGCGAATTTTGCGGCCAAAATTTCCCCAAAAAGATGATCATTTTGGCTTGTTTTAGTTAACCAAGAAATACGTTGAAACTACTGATAATTGATGAGAAAGTTAAATCAAAAGAAGCCTCGTACAAAGTTATAGAAAGGTAAAAGCTCCAAAAAGTTTTATGAAATTTGTTTTCAAGCAAAAAGTTTATTTTTTTTTATTGTAAAATTGATCGACTTTTAAAGGAAATATACTAAAATATGCAGATTTTTGGTGAATTTAGATTTTTAAAGTTTTATCAGGTTGTGTAAGAGAGTTCTTTTGATATAAATTTTTTTATCAACTAACTCAGTAGTTTCAGCGTAATTTTTGATTAACTGAAAAAGCAAAAATTACTCAGTTTTGGGGAAAATTTTTGCAGCAGAATTTGGAAAACTGCACCATTTCATTTCTGGTGATATTCAGAACAATTATTGTTTTTTTCCTTTTTTTCTTTAATTTTAACCCAATTGAGAAAAGAAGCCTTTGAACTTTCCGAAGAATTTTGGTCGTTGTCCGGTTAATTAAAATCAGCACTGTACTGAGAGCGGTCAATCCAATGTATCATTTTAGCTCCATGATTATGCAAATACTCGCTTCAATTTACGACTTAGAAATCTGCAATTAATTCTTTCAAGGAATCTATTTCAAATTTAATTATTGTTTTAAGGAAGATTATGGCTATTGAGCTGAAGTTTCATGCCAATCGGTTTGAAGATATAACGTACAGCCAATTTTTTCTAGTTTAGCGATCAGGGATAACGAAAGTCAATCAAGCTAAGCTTCAAACCCTAAGTCCTTTCGATCTCAGTTGTGAGATGTTTTATATGACTTCGAGTTTGATAGCATGTTGGTTTCTTTTGTTTTTTTTTTATTAATTGAGAACGTGAATACTTGTTAATTCTGTACAACAAGAACTCATCTATATTTATCGATAGCTGTCTCAGCTAATTATGCAATTGTAAGCTCTTCTCTCAAAGAATTTGTCAGTTTGGCCAGTATATGAGTGGAATGCTCGTTGGTAACACCTCCAGGCATTATGTAAATTTGTTACCTATGGCTTGTGTTTTGTAGCCAGTAAACGATTGAAATTAAAATCTCAAATCTTAAAATAGCGATAAGTGGCAGCGTAAGCGATGCAATAAGGTTATTGCCCTCATCCATATGAACCTGTTTGAACTCTGCTGAACACATTTCTTTTCTATTTTTTTTTCTGTCATCGCTTTTTTTAATGCTTTTTTTCAGTTACGCCTTTCTGATCCCTTTTCAAGAATCCTCAATATTTGTTCAATATGTTTTTCACGGTTTTCTATCATTGTTTTTCAAACTGCTTTGATGTTTGCTCTCGCTCTGATATAAAAGTGAAACAGCACCTCTAGGATGCGATCATCTGGTTCGCAGCCAGATCTTGTTAATCTTATTGAAAACAAAACGGCAGTCTTTTATGACTTTTTTAAAAGTTATTTGAACACATAGTTAATTCCTCAATTCAACATGGAAGTAATTTTCAGCAAGAGTGCCGGACTGCCAACGCATTCTTGGTGAAAAATTGAATGAAAAACTTGCATCAATTAATGCTATTTCCAGAAAGGGTCCATAATCTAAGGAAAAAGATCGCACAACAGAAGTATTCATCAATACAGTCATTTTGGTCAAGCAATTTAAAAAAACTGATCCGGTTAAAGATTAAAACCATAAGACTCAGTTAATAAAGTAGATAAAATGTTAGAAAAAAAAATTAGATCAAAAATTAGTCATTAACCTGAAAACGAAAAAAAAACTGAGACAAGTTTTTCTCGACACCAAGACAATTTTTTATATATTTTTTTTTTAGAATCGGAAACACATGTGAAAGAGCTGTAATATGATAGCACACTTGTCCCTTCATGATGATGATAAGCAGTTTACCAATTAGATGCGAATGAACAACGTTCGAAAATTAGGTTCAGCCCATCTGATTCACTGTGGAAATAAGATTGACATTCAGATTCTAATTAATTTGAACAAAAATGAAGGATGTCAGTGTAACCAGACCAAGGGATTGTGAAATTTAAACAGAAGGAAGGAGGGAAATGAAGCAAAAGTCAGTTGTGTCAATTAAATTGATGTTTTATAAATTGAACTGACTAGAGGAAGTCATAAAGGCAAGTAAAAAAGTATGACCGCTTCTGTTGAGAACAGTCTGTTCATCAGGAACCACTGGTACTCAAACTTATAATTTTGTTCTTAAAAACAGGGCTAATAATGATACGAGACATTGCTTTGATAACTAAATCCATCTCAATTCACTTACTTTCAATGAACTTTAATGATTGTGGTTCTCTTTCTATAACCGAGAAACCTGAAAGAATTGAACAATATTCTTAGCATGAAAGAAAAGTTGTGGATTGATTTTCAATTGATTTTTTAATTGGCAATTTGAATGAAAGTTTTTCTAATGGTTGTTTTTGGGCACGAATGAAATAAAAATTTCAACAATCTAAACCAAAAGTGAGAAAGAAGAATTACTTTTAACCACCTTCGCGTCAGCTTTACTGACTTTGTTTGCCCGCGCTGTAATTCTTGAATCAGCTGTAATTCTTTTTAAATTGATGCCTAATTCAAATCAATTTGTAGGCTCAAAGCTCTTTTCTCAAAAATTGCAAAAAATTAATAATTTGGAAACTGGCAATGAAAGTAATCCAAACCAAAAACAACGCGGCAATGACTGCCTTGATTTGCTTTTCTCGTTTTTTTTTCAATCAAATCCTATATAAACAAATCTGCTGGTATATCAAAGCAAAATCCTACATGTTCCGATTGCCCCCTTAAATTGAAAAAAAAATTTTGCTCAAAAAATTGACGAAGTTATCAAAAAACGTTATTTGGATCAATTTATTCCTTACTCAATGTCGATACCCCTCTCCCAAGAAATCGATGCACAGAAAAATTTGCAGTTGACTAATTGTTTGACGTAATTGTTAAATGTGGAGTAGGCTGAAGCCAATTATTTCAGCCTGAGATCATGAACAAACTTTTGTGATCTCAAGCAGTCTGCCAATTAGATACAAATTGACAACATTCGGAAATTATGTTAAGCCAATCTAAGTCTTTGTGGAAATATGATTGGCTTTCACATTTTAATTGATCTGAAGACAAACAAAGGAAGAATGCCTTTTTTAACATACCAAAAAGCGTGAAATTTCAACAGAAGGATGGTTGAGGTGGATAATTCAGTTGTGTCAATCAAGCCAATGTAATATAACTTGAACTGATTTACTATAAACCATAAGGCAATTTAGAAATTAAACTCGTTTCTGAGATCAGAGAGTTAATCAGGAACCAGATTAACAACACTCAACTTTTCACATTTGTTCTCAAATACTTGTCTAGTAATGATACGGGATATTGCTTTGAAAACTAACTAAGTCACACGAGATATTTGTTCACTGAGCCTTAATTACTGTGATTCACTCTCTATAATCAAGAAAGAACAATCTGAAAAAACTGGACAATTTTTTTAGCAAGAAAAATTTTTTTGTCAATTGATTTTCAACTAATTTTTAAATTGGCATTTTGAGTTAAGGTTTTTTGGCTGTTTTTGGCCTGAATAAAACAAGAATTTCAACATCCTGCACAAAAAATGATGAAAAAAAAACTTTTAACCAGTTTTGGTTCAGCTCTACTGATTTCGTTTGCTAGCGCTATCGGTTGTAGTTCTTTTTAATTTGATGCATAATGCAATTCAGTCTGCTAAAACTTTCATTTTTCAAAAATTAAAAAAAATAAGTAGTTCGAAAAATGGCAATGAAAATTACCAAAACCAAAAACAACGCGTCAATGACTGTCTAATTTGTCTTCTAGTTTGCTCCAATTAGCTCTAATATAAACAGGATTGCGCTTGTGTATCAGTGCAAAGCCCAAAATATTCCGATTGCCTCCTTGATAAAATGAATTTTAAACATACAAAAAATGAACGATTTTTTGTTCATTTATCCCATGCTCAAATCTGATTGGCTGAAAAATAATAGTTTTAACCAAATGAACTTTCTCCCCACTAAAGTAATTTCGGGGGAGATTGTTTTCTTGGTCCAAACAGTTTGTGCTCGTAGTAATTTCTTTTTTAATTATTTTCAATTTGCCTCTGAAATGCTTCACCTGTAATTAATTTTTGAGATCTAAATTTATTTAATTAATTGATGCAAAAATAAATTCGAAATTTTAGATCAATGGTGTTTTAGGGCTCCGAATTTTTTTTGAACCTATTTATCACTGATTGAAAAATCACCGAGAAGTATTTTTTTTCAAATCAAGTTAAGTTTTTTTCTGGTTGGCTGGCAGTTTCTTTCAATTGCCCAATTTTGGTGTGAATGTGTGGATCTATCACCGGATTGACGTTATTTTATTCGTGAACACGCTTTTCGGCGATAATGGGGGGGGGGGGGGTGGGGGGCTATAACTCAGCGTGATTTCTAGCTCACTTCCAGTTTTGACTTGTCATCGAATGCAATCTCAATATATTTTTCCTCCAAATGTTAAGACTCAAACATCCAATTTTGGTACAAGTACCCGCCATTTGTACTCGATAAAGTTAGTTAAAAGTTCTACCCGACAAGTGGGTAATTTTTATTTCTTAGCTGTAAAGTTTGGGTTCTCTTGGATAGGTTTGACAAAAACAAGGATATTTTAGCTCATATTCTTTGATGAAAATTGTCACCTTTTTATGAGCTTTGTTTGATTCTTTTGCGTTGCTATGTTTAAACTTCAGAAGCTGAAGTTAAAGCTGCTATTAAATTTAAGCTGCTGTATTTTGGGCTGAAGTGAATCAAAGTGGTGTTCTCAGACATTTATAATGCCCGAAAAACGCGTAATCTGCCCGCATACCCTCTGAACTCATTTTACCGTCTTTTTTTCTACATTTTTACCCTCTACAGGTGAAGGTAATTATAAAAAATTCAAATAGCATTTAAATGGGAAAATTTAAATATTCAAACTCTTGTGAGCTAAGAAATTTCTTCTTTATGGTAACGGTATAATTCAGTTCACGCCTATTTTGTATTTAAAAAATGAATAATTTATTGAGCTGAGCGAAGAGCAGTAGAAGTTTCTAGAAACAAACATCTCTGCAAATTGCAAAAGAAGAAAGAAACCTCATAAGCTTCCTGTGAAAATCAGAGCAAGGAAAATTATGTAAATCTATCAAAAACAATACTTGAAAGAGAAAACGCGGAGTTAAACTGTTTAGATGCAAGGATATGCGCAAGCCCCAGAATGTGCTCATTTTGAACCTGGCCCTGGCTGATCTTGGGATGGTGTTGGGATCACAGGTGCCTACGTGCATTTCTTCATTCTCAAGACAGTGGATTTTCGGCCAGACAGGTGAGTCATTCCGTGACAGGTCTCTTTTAAGACCCTTTACACTCGCTTGATAGGACAGGATTAAAAATCGAGCTGTTCAGTCTTTCATGCTGAACGACTGCAGTGCTCGGATTGAGATGCGAACATGGTTTCACTTTTTAAACGATAAAGCTTTGCTTCCCACTTAGGTAATGCGCGCGGATCATGGTATGCCTGTAACAATCGCAATTCTGAAACCCTGGCATTTCATCAGGTCTTCACATCATGTGAGAATGTCAAAAAACTCATTCTATCACGTGATTGGGTGGAATCTCATGCGCAAGTCCATTAGTACAAAACATCAAAACCTAATAGGATGCCCCTCTTTTAAGATTTTTTTTCAAAAGGGTCTCCTTCGGTACTATTATATGACAGCCATTTCTGGCAGCAGAGCCTGCAAATTTTTCCCAAACCCGATTTTTCTCATGTGCCTTGAAGGAGGAGAGCAGGTCGAAAAAGTATTTGGAAATCGCCTGGTACCCCAGATTATTTTGCGAAATATGGCCCTTCTGGGGTTTCAGCAGAGCTCATAAATTTCGGCATGACTGACCCAAAAAAGTCGCTCCCGTCAAAAAAGTCGCTCACGCCACTGCCACGTAATATGGTGATTGCACATAAGGACCGAATAAACGCTATACTCTGAAAAAATCATTAAGTGCTTTGAGAAAAAAAATACTGCAAAATTGCAGCAGGATTTTAAATTGAACCAATTTTAGGGGCTAGAGCAACAGTACAAAAATTAAAATTGAACTTTTTGTGTCCTCAAGATACATTTATTTGTAGTGAGTTTGTTTTCATCATCGCGTAGGCGTGATCTCCGGTTCTTATACCAGTTGAAGTTCATCTTCCATTATCGTAAAGATTCAACTTCGATTTAAATGATTACGTCAAACAGCTGTAAGCTGCTTTTCTTAAAAATAATAGAAATGTATTGGAGGTCAACCATTTGCGCTTTAGGAAGCAAAACAATCAATTTGATTTTAGAAAGTAGTCTAGCTGGCTCCTCCTTCCCCTTTGAAATAAATATTGTTTAAATATAAAGAATACAAAATAATCAAAGCGGACAAAAAACTAATAATCTGTTTTAAACAGAGATCAAACCAGAGGACACCATCTGCCACTAACCTTGTTAACGTTTTCTTTTTGATGATATAACTTTTGGAGCGCGTTTTCTTGTTTAAAAATGAAAATTAATTTTTTTAAACCTTTTATTTATTAAGATCATACGGATAGTCTCCTGGGATTTTTCCGGATTCAAATCTAACCAGTTTAATTTTGTGATCGAATTCGGAGCCGGAATAAGCTTTATGATCATTGTGGTTTCCTTTTGATTCTTTTTGTGGAAGTTTCAGAAATATTTATTAAATTAGCTATGAAGCTGCATGGTTAGCGCAGCATGTCTATTAAATCAAGCTGATTTTAGGGGGTGATTTTTTACACGTTTTTCTTCCTTCAAGGATTTGACTCCCTCACCAACCAAAGGGTCTTCCCTTGGTATTTTTTAAAATACCTTTTTTCGGTCAACCAATTCCAAAAATGTTCTGAAGGTGACCGTTTGGCGTAAATTTATGTATATATATATATTTATATACATATATAGATCCGTCTCTGAAAATCCTAGATCCGTCTCTGTGTTAAATCGTTCTTGAAATTTTCAAAACATTGAAATCGATAACCAAAACTTTATGGAGAAACCCATACTGACGAAGTTGCTGTTGCTGAAATTTTTTGAAAAATATTGAATCTGCCTATGTTTTGAGGCGAAATATCAGAAAATTCTTTTGCGGCAATAACAATATCCGAATACTACGCGAGAAGCAAAAAATATGCCTTTCACGGTCGCAATTGCGGGATTTGTTAGTTTTTTTATTTTCAATTTCATTTTGGATATCGTAATTTTGGGGTTTCGGCACCTGCAAAAATTTCCTGTGCAAGCATTTTTTTATTGAGTTTTTACCATCATCGCTGCGAATCGCAATAAAGTTCCATGGATGATAATCAATTTTAATGGATTTTCATGATCTATTTCGATAAAAAACTAAATTAATTGTTTATAATGGATTAGTAAGCGATTGCGAAATAAATAAATTAGAAATCAATTTAACCCATTTTAATCGATTATAATGGAGTATAATTGATTATAATGGATTATAATAAATTATAATGAATTATAATAAATTATTATGGATTATGAATGATTTTTATGAGTTAGAGCTTGGATTTTCCAAAGCCTTGAAATCAAAAATTCAAAACGTAGCAGACGATAAATATTTTATACATTTGGTCACAGCAAAAAGTTGTTTTGTTTTCTACTTGTCTTTTTTCTACTTGTCTACTTCTCCCCCTAAATACTTCACAGTAACTCCCACCATTCTTAATTTTTTTGCTTACCTTACTTCCCCTCCCAACCACTTACCCTTTACTGACATTTACCACAAAGTACGTAAAAAACACCGTACGCGTGCCCATACCCCCAAAATGCAAACACAGCTTGTGGGAGAGTAGGTGCAAAAATATGGTTTTGTAAAATTTAACTAAAAATGAGTAGGTTCACAAATCGAGTAGGCTGTGAATAATGCAGAAAAAGCTGCAAGTTTGAAGAAAATTTGGAAAAAAAGTTATGGAGTTTATAATGGATTTAAATGGATTATGATCGATTTTTTTCTTTGAAAATAATGGGTTAAATTAGACTATAATCAATTGCGTAGTCCCAAAGTGTAATTATAATCAATTATAACGATTAATATCCACAGAACAACCTTGCGGGGTTGAATCGATCTCTCTATTAGATTGGGAATAATAGAGACTAGTTTGGAAAAACAGCTAGAAATTGGAAAAGCGAATTGACGTAGATGAATACCAGTGTCGAAAACAAAATGATATATTTCTAGTATACTAGAAAGGTGTTTGGCACGATCAAGTTGTTTTCTTCAGTCAACATGAATTGGTATTATTTATTTCACCGAACACGTTACTCGTTCAGAAAAAAATCCAGCTATGGTGTTTACTATGGCATTAAAAATTTTGTCAAACCAGTTAAATAAATAGCCGAATTTGTTTTTTTAAACTCAAAATTCAGAAACTTAAATTAAACTCAAAACTCAACAAGCAGAATCATTCAAAAACTGTGGCGACCTTATATAGGGATTCGAATCACTGAAGGGAAATCAAGAGGGCGTCCGCCTCCGTTCCTAAACTGAATGCAAACTAAACTAAAACATCCGACGCTGAATGCAATTAAAATGGCCCTCTTGTGTTTCATGTTTCTATTCTTTTTCGGTAAAAAAATAGCTCAAGAGACTTGCGAATGACATAGGAGCTAGGAAATGACTATTCAAAAAATTCTCAAAAAATGACAGACTAAAAAAACAAAAATGAGAAAAACAACACTAATGAATCATGGTAGCATTGTAACTATGAATGAAAATTCAATTGAAGAGAAGTGTCCTTTATACTTCCTTGTTTGCTTTTTAATCAATCATTTTCAGAATCTAAAGTCATTCAGTTGAGTTCATTTCTCTTGACAAACTCTAAAACAAGACAAATTCTGAAAAAGGTAACAGGAACCAGGCGTTTTTAATCTATTAATATTTTGGAAGTGAATTGAGGTTTTGATCGGACGAACTGGATTGACCGCAATTCAGGGGTGTGCATTCGCAAATGTAAATCGAGCGTGTATGTAACTGAATCCATCGGAACTTCTAAATTAAGAAAACCTATTTTACAATTTTTTTATTAACGAAGCAAAACTGAACAATTGCTTGGCGTGTAGACCGATTATCCTCGAGAGAATGGGCCGCCATTTGAAGTGTGAAGCTATTTACGGAGAACCACTGCCTGCTGTGAGCTCTTTTTTGTTGAGCATTTGATTGAATGATTGTAAGTGAACTCTTCTGAACACTATCAACTTCTTTCAATTGTTTGATTGGTTAAACTGATTAATTAACAAACTGAGAAATTGCTAGAAGTAGTGACTTCTAACTCAGAAGCTCCTGTATCCAAAACAGCCATGATCCGTTCTTGTTGCCCGTGGTCGAAAAAATTTTACCAAAAAAGTTGCTTTCTTTTCTCCATGAACATGATATTCAAAATGAAGCGGCCATGCATTGGCCTTATGCATAATTGCCCTACCGACATTTGTTTTTTTAGCAAAAAAAACCTTTTGTTTTTTTTGCTGTTTTTGCTTATGCATTAAAGCCATCGTCTTGATCAATTGCCTTGTTGATTTTGGTTAATATTTTCTCTATTTTAGCATGCACCGTTTCTGCTTTTCTGGCGACTAACAGTGGCTTCGCTTCCATCGGAACCATGACTCTCATCGCATTCGACCGATACGACCGGTTGTCGCGCCCTCTCCAGACCCTGGATCAGGACACTTTCGGCAACAAGAGATCATTCCGACTAATCGCACTAGTTTGGGCGTACTCGTTGTTCCTCTCACTGCCACCTTTGTTCTACAATGGATACGGATCACCAGGTATGCTCAAGAACAATTCTCAACAATTTAATCTAATTAATACGTTTTGCACAAGCCCAAAAGTCTTCAGACCTCATCTTATCAATTTTCAATATTTCTTTGGATTTTAAAATTTTTTTAGGTCGACCAAATTGAACTTCTGCGTTTTCGTAAATCACTATAAAGACCCCATTTTGACCAAATTTTCTGCGCCACAGGCAAATTTTTGAAAAAATCTACGAAAAAAATTCGCCAAAAATAGAGATAAATCAATAGAGATCAATAAATAGCATTTATCGCAACCACCTTACAAATTGTTATAAATTAGTGCAGTCTGGGAAAATTGGCACTTGTACGGCAAGAGGATGACCTTTTCCCATAATTGCCTACTTGGCAGTCTAAAAATTACAAATTTCATGGTCGGGGGGAAGCACTTTTTCTAATGTCAATTCTTAAGGCTCATTCTCAATCTACAAATGTACTTGCAAGAACTGTCAAGTGATTTCCTCCTAATTTCTTCTGAAACTAGACCCATTGTCTCTGATTAGAATAAGTTCAAATTTTCCAAGCGTTTTGAAATGACAGAATTAAGTATAATCTGTTCAGCCTCTAGCCCACGCACTTGGTGCAAAAGACGAAAAAAAACGAGCAAAAACTCAGTTTTTCTTAAACCGACTAAAAGAAAAGACTAATTTTTTTTAGTTTTTCCTTTTTGGTTTTTTTAAAAGAACTTAATAATCTTCATATGACAAAACTCATGCAGCCTTAGTTGTTATCGATGTCATCTTGTTGAGGACAATTTTTCTCGCTATAGATTTGATTGTATCTTGTTGGTTTCCTATATTTAGCTGTCTGATTTGTTCAGTATAGTGATGGACATTCGAATTATTTAGAACTTATGAATGATAAAAATTATAAAAGGCGCGGATATTTTCGTTGCTGTATTATGCGTGGTTTGACTTGCGAAGTTAAGACAGGAGTTATAGCGCAGTGTGGATTTTTTCTTTATCGCAAAAAAAGCTTGTAGAGTTTCTTTATCGCAAAAAAAGCTTGTAGAATTTCAAATTTTCTATCATATTAAAACACTTTTAGCCGTGAGTCGGATTCTGAAAACAATTTGAAAACAAGTTCTCGGTATCATGAAAAATAAATGTGAGCTTTTCTCTTTAAATTGGGTGGTGGCCATGGGGTCGAATCGAGGGAGAGAGGTGCTACCCCTTATCCTAATAGATGATGGCTTTCGCATCCACATCGAAGCGAAGAACTTGAGCATAAATCCGTTACTTTTTTGTTTCAGACGTTTCAGTGGCATGTATTTTGGACTATACCAATGCTTCCCTGGAAAATAGACTGGCTCTTGCATCTATGTACACCCTGGGTTTCGTGGTACCCCTCTCATGCATCATCTATCTCTACAAAGGCATCTTCGGCATCATCCGCACTTCACGATTGATGTTCGGCGACAGCCGCCAAGATCAAAGACAGGTGAATCATCATAATCTTGATTATCGGAAACTCTAATCATTTTAAGCATAGTTAACAGACAGCTGGAAGTCATTAATGAACTTCATGGAACTAAAAATAATAAAAATAGTTTTTCTACAGAGAATCTTAAAAAAGAAACTAAAAAAATGGAGCCAATCCAAAATTTGTTTTCTTCGATCAAATTGTAAGACTTCATCTTGAAAAAAGTGATTAAACCCACGCGACCCTAAAAACATAGATTGAAAAATTTTTTGCTTTTAAGCATACGGTGTCAAAAACTTTATGAGACATGAAGCGGTCATTCAAAAGTTATTATTTCGATAAAATTTGCCCCAAAACTGTGCTTTTACAATATACTCCCCAAGAGCTTGCCATCAATCTGAGGGAGAAAAAGCTTCCACCTAAAATCGGCGCCTTTATTATATTTATTTTTAAGAACGAACCAATTTATTCCTGTGGTATCAAAATCTGAAAAACGCACACAAACAGTTCTTGACTGTTCTTTTTCTGACAAAGTTTAACCGCAGCTTAATAAACTTTTGGTAAAGAAAGGGTTTTTTATCGTGTTTTACAAGAGCTCAGACAATCATTTTGGCCTAAGTTATTTGAAAATCAGCAATTTTTGCAGCAAATGTCGGTGTAGGTTATTTGAACAAAGTTTTTTTTTGAAAATGCTTTTTGCAACATACATGATAAACGCAGGTGCGTCTTCTGTCTCGATTGACTTTAAAAATTTAGATTAATATCTGAAGTCAAATCGAAACTATAAATCAAACAAGTACACTCATATAAATCAATATCCTATATTTTTTTCACTTACATTCTACTATTAATCAAATTTAACACTATGAGCATTTTTTTTCTAAGTTTGATGGGTGTTATTTAATTTTCGCTTCATTTTGAATCGTTGAACTTTAGCTAGTCTTTAGGTGCATGTATAATCAAAACATTGCATGCGGACGCAAAAAACAGCTCTGTTATAGCTTTTCAAAAAGATACCTTTTAAGCCTTTTTTTGATCAGTTCAAATAAATTAAATGGAATCATTAAAAAAACTGGATGCTTAGTAAATAAATTCTAGTATTTTGCAGTAAAAAATCATTTTTTTGAAATGTTGCATGCATGAACTTAATCCGCGAATTGTACAAACTTGGGCACCTGTTCTTTTTTTATCAAAAATATATGCCATTTTCAGATGGAGAAAGAGTTCAAGGTCGGCATCGCTTCTGTACTCTGTGTGCTCATATTCGTGATCGCCTGGACGCCATTCGCGGTGCTGATGGTGCTCGGAAACATCGACCCCAAATACGTACTCACTTCGGCTGACAACAGAGTATCGTACACTTCTCTAACAGCTACTTTCGCCAAGGGGTCGGCAGCCTGTAATGGCATCATTTACGGACTGTGTATTCCGCAAGAAAAATATCGAAGGTGGGTTGAAGAAATTATTTTCTGCACAATTTTTTTTTTCAGTTAACTTCTTCAAAACCCATAATCGTAATTCAAATTTGAAGATTTTGAAGAATCCGATTTCTCGTGACTGAATCCTCGTGGTCCAAATGTTAAAAAATTAGGTAATAACGGTTGTGTAACCGATTTGGCCTTCAATCAAAAACTTGCTAAACCACCATTTGCATCAATAATTGATAATTTTCTAAGCAGAAGGGGTCTGCGATGTGAAGATATTCAAATATGGTCTTATTCTTTATTTAAAACCCTTAAGTTTTTGGTTATTGTGGCGATATTGTAATATTTATGCTGTATGATTTTTCTGGTGACAGAACTTTGCGTTCTTAGAATATCAAAACCGAGAACTTTCAAATCAACATCAGATAACCCCAAATAAGCATTTCCCTTTGATTTTAAGCCGGCAGACGGTTGCTATGCAAGAAGCATGGAAAGTTTCAAACCACAGAAATCATAGCAAAAAAAAAGTTTAAAAAATTGATATATATTTTTTTTTTGGTGGCGAGAGGACAAGTTACGCTTCAACAAACAAAAAATAGTAGCGTAATTTAAGCTCATTTATACTGATCTTTTTCAACACAGTTAATATTTTCCTAATGATTTTTTTTGTAATCCAAGTTGGAACTGAAACTATAGAACATCATCATACACTATAAGTGAGTTGTCTGAAATAGCTTATATCAAAACGACTGGGGCCACAAAAATCTCTTATTAACGTCAATTCATATTACTTAGTAATTTTTTGCGTCAATCAAGCCTTAAAACCGCTAAAACAAAATAGGACAGGATTTTTTTAATAGGAAAAAGAATCGAAAGTGAATTTTTTTTATTTGAAGGATACTTTAAAACTACCATATTGTTTCACACCAAAAAAGATAAATTGCTAAACGATGTTTCTGGTGTTCCAGGTCGTCAGCTCAGCAGGCCAAAAAACTCTTAATGAGCCATGCGGCATTGTACCATCATAACAGCCGACGACACCAGCAGAACTTGATCAAACCAGTCGAATGGGTCTAACTGAGACTCAAATCACTCTTCAATCAGCCTCGCAGATCAACTGCTCCTGAAAACTCAGTTTCAACAAAACTCGGCAATACTCAAAACATATTCTTAAAATACAGTGCAAGTTCCAATAAAAAATTTCCTTAAAGGATAGATGTATTTTAGTTTAAGTATAAGAATGTGCTGTTTGTTTATTTTTATGTAAATTAAACATTTTATTAGCTTAAAAAGTTTTCAATTTTAATTTTGAGCTCCATTCGAAAATATCAAATGGCAAGGAACGAACAAATTTAAGCTGAAAGGCAAGATGATTTATCGTAATTTCGGGCAAAACAGCGCATTATTTATGGCAGCCACTGCTTGTTCTTAAGTTGCGTGTCAAAATTGAAGAAGTAGATCTTTTTTCTTGCTCTTGGTCAACATTTTTCTAGATCGAAGTAGAGATTTGAGGAAGCACTTCTTTGGGCGACAATAAATGCTATCAAATCTCGCCAGGAAATATTCAATATCTTTCAATTTAAGGGTTTGCGTAGAGTTTTTCTCTAAAAAAGGAGAAGCGGATGTTCATCGATTTTATTTTGAGGTGAACAAAAAGCATTTTGAATTTTCTAGAACCGTTACAAAAAAAAGCATGTGTTTACCAGTGGTGTGTACAGAAATTTTTTGACAGAGGGAACAATTTGAAAAATTTTGAAGTTCGGCCAATTTTTTTCAAGCTCAGCCAAACCTTTTTCAAGTTCAGCCATTTCGAGTTTTAGATCACAACCAATGGCACCAAAACCCTAAAATGACCTTAAATGCTTTAATTTTCTGCCTTATTTAGGAATTTTTGAAATAGTCGAGAATTTTTGAAATAGTCGTGAATTTCTGGAATAATTGTGAATTTGATTTTCTGAAATAGTCGCGAAGCCAATGGGGGCAGAAGAGCGTAGAGGGCAGCCCATGAGATACATACCACTTGATTTACAAATCCACTGCTGCAAACGTTTTTTTAAGTGCGGTTAACCTCAAATTTAGTATAAATTTGGGTCACTAGATCTCTTGGAAAAATATCGAAAGAAAGAGCAGGAAAAGGAAATGTCGATTCCGCTTCTTTCATAAATGACAATTAAGAAAGAGATCTGTAATCAAAACTATGATGTTTCGTCAACTATGATGTTTCGTCAAATCAAAAAAGCAGTTCATTTCAGGACACAAGACTTCAAATATAAAAACTGCACCAATCGGAGCGTAAAACACCTTCTTCTATATCAACTCAACACCGACCTAATTTTTTGATATTTGGCATGAGGGTGAAAGACAACTGCCAGCCTAGAAAATGACGAATGGTTGAAGAATAATAAAAAAGTTTCCAAGTATTTTTACAGTTAGCACACTTGAGAAGACGCAAATATTCCGTTACTTTAAACAATAAACACTAAACAATTTTTCTGCATGCGCGTGTATATCGAAAAAACTGCGAAAAAAAATGGCTCACAACCCTTTTTCACCAGCATTCAAAGTCACTTAAGATAATGTGGTCTAGTATGTTGTTCTCGTTTAGATAAAAATTTTAGGAAAACAGATACAATACTTAAAAAAATTTTCTATTCATGTTAATTATTTTATTGTTGTAAAATTTTATCAACGTCTGTTGTTCGTTAGCCTTTGTTTCAAATTTTAGGACAATCTATTTGTACAATATGTTTAGGACAATCCATATCACAATATTAATTTAGGAACAGGAATATTCAGTTCTAAATACTTGCGTCAATGTTTTAATCAAACTGTTAATATATAATTCTGAATTTTTTCACGTTTAATTTTCTAAAAATTATGAGGGTCTAAAAACATCCCAGTTGGTTAGGTTAATTTGGGATAACTACAGCAAGACAATTGTTGTACTATTATTTCACGTTTAATTTTTTCACGTTTAATTTTGATCAATGTGGATCAAATGTCCTTCAAACTGAACTGAGGCAAGCTATTTATTGAGGCAGGAAAACTTAGTATTGCGTGATCAAACGCAAAAAAAAAACAAACATATTTTGTACTAAACTTTGGGTATGGCTGGAAAATTAAACTGAAAAAGCCAAAAAAAATATCCAAGCAATTTTAAAAAAAAATTTATCAATTAAAATATAAATTTTAAAGCGCTGTAGACGCATTGAGGATTTTGCCCCAATTATCATGCTTGATTTTTATTCAATTTTTTGACGATTTTTTAAATGACAGAACGTATGGTTATATCTGAGACGTCTCCAAATTATTTTTTGAATTCGGTTGATTGTTTGATGTCAATCGGAGTTGATTGCTTTTTTTTGCTCGAAAGTTTTCTCGGCTTTAAAGATTTTGGTACACATTTTATTAGCTCCGTTTTCTCGTGTTTTATCATCTACGGCAAAAAAAAATATGATTGCGTGTATGCTTTGGATGGGCTTACAAACTGCTAGTTTCAACCATTTTGCAATTAAAATTTTTATGGCAACCAAGTTTTTAGACGATAATAGGTTAACTCTCAATGCTAAAATAATGTTTTTGCAATTCAAATTCATATGAGACAAATGGAGGCAAGCAGCAAAAAAATGACAAAGTTAGGTCGACTTAGTTTTGTTTCAATTACTTTGCTTAAATCAATTTTGTCCTAGTAACATTCGGGTCATTCTACAATTGTGATTGGACGTTCTTATTTTACGATCTCCGTAGAAATTCTACAAATACTTAAAGAATGAAAAAAGTAGAAAAGTAAAAACCGCAATTGTTGCCCTAAAACTGTTCCACATGAATGTTAGTTAAGATGTCAAAACCTAAATTTAGATGTTACGATGTTAAAATTTTTTACGTTAAAAAAGCTTTCTGTTTTAAATAATGGATGAATTTTTTAAATTATCACCTCACATGCTACAAAAAAAATTCAGTGACAAAAACTGAACATATCGAGGTAACTTTTTGAAGAAATTGCCTAATCCAATTGATTTTGGAACGGAATTTCTTGAGCCCGATAGTTTTGCCGCTCATGCAAAATAGAAAAAAAAGCGCAGTATTCTTCACAGTTTGGTCAATTGGCAGTTTTGAAACCCTAATAACTCGCAAAATCACAATACACTTGAAGTATTGTTTTGAATTTTGAGCTCAGGACATCAATAGTTTTCAGATGAAATACTAACTACGTCAAAAATGATTAATAGAGAAATCAAAGTTTGCCTGGCGAAACTTGCATTAAGATTGTTTTTCTTCGCTCTTTTTGCTGTTTTGATTTTAACATACAAAAAAAATATAAATGGTTTTGCTCCGACATTCTTTGAAAGCAGGAAAACTTGTTGAGACCCGATCAAAATTTATGGTACCCAGAAGAATCGAAGCAGGCAAAAAAATTAGGTTCATTTTGTATTAAGCCCTGCGAACCGAAGGCCAACGTATCTTTTTAAAAGCAGCCGCACGTAAAAAACGTGGATAGTTCTTTATGACTAACTACAAAACGCTTTCGTCAAACCAGTCAATATAACTTTTGAAAGATATAATTTTTTAACCCGGAAACAAAAAAACGAGACTCCTAGCAGCAAGAATTTTATCAGATCTGGCGAGATCATGCTACATCGGAAGATGCTCAGAAATGAAATGAAACAAAGGTGTTTTCGTTTTCAATATCAAAAACTGTGACCTCCCACGGAAACTCCTTCGGAATCTTTAAACCCAACAGATGTTCTTAACCAGGCAGCAATTAATTAGAACAAAGGGTAATTCAATCATTTGAAATGATCAACAATGCACAATTGAGAACCAATGGTGATATGTACATTAAACTTAATTCACTAAAGAGCAAACCCAGACTAGACGTTAAAAAAGCAAGAACTAGCTTTATTCGGCAAGAACTTGCTAATTGCGCTACAAGTGGGTGCCGTGACACACTTAGTGTGAAAACAACTTTACGTTAAATGTGTTTGCCCGTGGATTCACTAAGAGTTTGATTATTGGATTTCATTTTCAATTTCCAAACTGAATTTCTCCGGTTTCCAGCGTCCTACATTAACCAAAAAGTGTGCGTATTCTTTGTATTGTCTTTTCTGAAAAAGGAAGCTTACTCTTTATGATATCAATTCTTCATTTCCAGATATCTATACTTCCTAATAAAGGTTTTCGGAGTTTTGTTTGAGATCATAGCTTTAAGTCCGCTTCTTGTGCTCAAATATCTCGATACACTTCCATATCTTATCATACCACAGCAAGTTCACAAATTATACTGCGACTATTTTTGAGGCTTCAACGCGACTGGAATTCAGACTATTGAGGTTGTTTTTAGTCCCCTTTTCGAAAAAAAATTATATGTGATCAGGTGGTTTTCTCTGCACACAAATTTGGACTAGGCATTTTTTGCTAAGTTTTTCAGTATGATCTGAAAATCAAGATCAAAAATTATTTCTATCCAAAATGGCTAGATAAAAAGTGGAAATTTAAAAAGTTGAAATGAGTAGTTACCTTCTTCATAATTCCTGCAACAAATCAAAGTAAATGTTTGTCATTTGAAAGTTGCTGTAAATAACACCTTTAATAGATACCGAACTACTCGCTCAACATTCCAGTAGTCAAAGGATGCCCTCTTTAATTTAAGGAGTCCTCTTGGACAATTTTGCCTGTGAATAAAATGGGAACAATATACTGCGTCTTTTTAGTCAACAAAACCACTTGGGAATATCATGATTAGAATGCAATCTAGTAGCATATAGTAAGGTGTTTATTTTAGCATGTATTTGCACTTTGAATTTTCATTTGAAGTTTTTACTTGAAGATTAACACACAGAGTGACTACCATTTAAATTAATTTTTATTAACTAGTAACTAGGATAAAAGTCATCAGTGATTAGGGAAAAATTCACCATCACCAGTTGGGTTAAAAATAAGCGTCATAACATAAAATACTTTGAGAGTATAATATAAACCTTGAGCAATCCAGATATGATTTTTCAATTTATTCATCTAGATATAATTGTATACGTTAAATTTGAATCAGAAAACGGAATCCTTTTCAGAATCCTTTTCTTTTTAAATTTTACACATAAATTGACTTGGAAGAAAACAATTGGATACAAAACCCAAAAAAAAAAATTTTGAAATTTGATGCATACTGAAATGGGCTTACCAATAAAATAAAATTTACATTGTCTAATAATTTTCAATTTAA